CCTCCCCACCCCTCCCTGGGGGACTCCGCTCCGGGATAGGAAAAGCAGCGAGGGATTCCCAGCTTCGGGCAGTCCAGGCCCCTTTTATCCCTTTGGTCGCCCTCCGCCGGAGTCTCTCCGATTCCCTCCCGGGCACCGACCTTCCTCCGGCAGGCGGGAAACCAGGCGGCAGCGGCCATGATGCCGTGACGTCACAGGTCGGGGCAGGCCGCCGGCGCCGGGGGGTGACGTAAGGTCGCGCCTCGCCGTCAATCGGCGCGGCTCCAGGGCCCGTCGGTGACGCGGCGGCCGAAGGGCGGGGATGCTGGGGGTGGGGGGGGCATGGGGCACCCTGGCAAACGGCTCGCCTAGCCGTTTGGAGAGCGGCCAAGGAATGCGCAGTCATGCAGACAGACACGGGTAGTCCTCGACTTACAACCGTTCCTTTAGTGACCGTTCAAAGTTCCAACGCTACTGGGAAAGACATGACGGTTGCAGCGGTCACGTGGTCAAAATCCGGATGTTTGGCGGCTGGTTCACATTTATGACGGTCGCAGTGCCCCGGGGTCAAGTGATCGGGCCCTTTGGCGACTTTCTGACTAACAAATTCAATGGGGGAGCCAGATTCACTTCACAGCCCTGTTATTCATTTAACAAGTCTGGTGAACCACTTAACAAAGGTGGCAGGAAATGTCATAAAATGGGGCAAAATTCAATAAATTTTTCAGCAACATAAATTTGGGTTCAACTATGGTTGTAAGTCGAGACTCCCTGTACTACTTTTATTATAAAAGGGCACCAGAGAAGGTGCAATGGAGAAGGTGCTGGCCAGAAACCAGGAGACAGGAAGTTCCAGCCCCGTCTTAAGACATGAAAGCCAACTGGGTGATTTTCAGTCAGTTCTGTTGGAAGAAACGTCCTTCTGGGTTCAGCTCCAAATGAGGGGAAAAGACACTGGAAACATGCTTGGAAAGATGGTTTAATGGTGGACAGCACCACATGGCTTGAGCTCCTGAACAAAAAAGGGGGATCAGATGCTTCCAGATGTTGGGTGAAGAAGAAAAAAGAGAGCGAGATGCTGAAAGTCCCTGGTTTTATGCCCTCTCTGGGCTTTGATCTTGATCTTGTATTTTGATTGGTTGTCAGGCTCCCATGGGGCCATACAGGGGCAACTCTGTAGGCTATGTTTTGAGTCCAAGTTTGGTTGAGCATTNCTTTCTGAACCTGGCTGCCAAATAAACTTTTCCTGTATCCTGAGAAGTCGAAAGCCTGTCATTTTCTGCAACTTTAGTATCCCCCATAATGAGAACTTTCAATAAAAGCAGCAGCAATTTGCATTCTATTTCAAGTAAATTTCCACCTGAGACATGACAGAGTTTTAAATTAAAAATAAGAACAAGATAATGTTGCAAATATTTTTTCCTATTCTTTTTCATTCTTAGCTTTAATACTGTGGATAAAGAGACTTTCACTGTAAGTTCAACTAGTCGTCTTGGAAAAAAACTCTAATACAATTAAATGAGCTAAAATTTCAATCTGACATAAATATTGCTGCTGTAACCAGGCTTTGGTGATTAGAAGGGAGAAAGACAGAAATACAACCCACTAGTTTTATAATTTTCCAGTGGCCATCTTCTCACAACTTCTGAAAGGCACAGTTTTCATATACTATCAGTCAGTTCTGTGTTTGGGAACAGAAGTGAATATCCGCAGTCCATGCATTGTTTTAATTTCTTCACTTAGAGCCTAGAAGAAGGAGGCATTGTAAACAGCTATGCAAAAGAAAAAAATAATTTCAGGCACAAACTGACAACATATAACATATAAGCTATCCATTCATAGGATAAGAAACAAGCCCAAAACTAAATATAGCAGTTTTCATTTTACTTATAATAATATTTCTAGGCCACTTTTGAGAACAGAGCTCCTCTCAATTAAAATTAAGACATCTGAACAATGCAAAAGAATCACAAGAGGCATGCATGAAGTCTAGAGGAGTAAATAATTGGAAATACTTGAAATCCAAAGCTCCCATAGAATTCCCATAGCGTTAAGGTCCACCTGCTTACCTGATTAACCATCTGGTGCTGCTGAATTGTTCTCTTTTCCTTAAAATCTTCTGATTCTATATGTATTTCGTACATTGCTCCACAACCACCTTGACAAAATGAGTTGATTTTATCACATTTAGGGATTAATATGCTTCAATCTTTTCAGCTGTTTAAACTTCACATTTTTAATCTCATTAAGACTGTTTTAGATAGAGATTATATGTTCCTATCATGGGAAATACTGTATTTTTTGGAGAATAAGACATACTTTTTTCCCCTAAAAGAGGGTGAAAATTTGGGTGCGTCTTATACACTGAATGTAGTCCCATCCACTCACCGTCCCCCATCCTTTAGCCTCTGCCTCCCAGCAATTTACCTCCNTTTTCTGCTCACACTGAAAAAAAATTAGAAGGAACATTGGAGAGAAGTCAAACCCTATTGCCCACCACAAATGCGGACCCGTCCCCAACTCCTGAAGCTAGTCCAAAAGAATGGTCAGTGATATCAAAAACTGTTGGGAGGTCAGGAAGCACGAGGCTGGATGTACCAACTCTATTCCTGCTCTAGCAGAAGTCATCAACAAATGTGACAAATGCTGTCTGCAGGCTAAAACCTGACCAAAACTAATTCAAATATAGATAGTCCTTGACTTGCAACCATTTGTTAAGCTACTATTCAAAGTTACAGTGGTACTGAAAAAACTGACTAATTTCTAGTCCTCACAGTTATGACCATTGCAGCATCCCCAGCCACACAATCAAAATTTGGGCGCTTGACATGATGGTTGCAGTGTCTGGATCAGATGATTGGCTTTTGTGACCTTCCCAGATGCCCTGACAAAATCAGTGGGAGAAGTCAGATTTTGCTTAACAACCACTTGATTCATTTAATAACCACAGCAAAAGATGTAAAATCGGGTATGACTCATTTAACAACTGCCTTGCTTAGCATGGAAAGTCTGGTCCCAACTGTGGTTGTAAATCAAGGACTACCTGAAAGCCGTTTCCTCCAGGTTCCCCTGAAGCTGAAGTATTCCCAAGGAAGGGACATTTGGAGGCTGGATGACAATTGTTCCTGATTGTTGGGTCCAGGAAAGAAATGTAGACTAAATACTTGCAAAGTGAATTTTCAATGACTAGTGAGTTTAGATTATAATCTAAACATGTATGTATGCCATATATATATATGCGTGCTGGTCTTGTTGTATTCTGGTCTTTTCCCATGTAAGATTGAGATTGTCTTGGCAACGTTTCGGCGAGGTCTCACTCGCCATCTTCAGGCTGGGTTTTGGGCTTAAAGCGGGGTCAGAGCTGCCGCCTTTAAGCCCAAAACCCAGTGAATGTGTTTTTATCTACTGGTAGTACAGTATCTAGTTCTATCTGATTTAATGTCTTGATGTATTAATATCTATCTATTCAGCTAAATAAACAAACAAGTGGTTTTCTAAGTAAATATGTGGCCTGCAGGGATCCTTATATAAGATTTAATTTTTTATTCAAGCTGTTGTTACCTATAGATCACACCATGATCAGCTGTAAGTTGAGGGCAGATACTGGTCCAGTATCTGATTTTTTAAACAAACGATGCTGTACTTCAATGGTTAGATAGCCTAGAGATTGGTATTTGAACATAGATCTTTTTAATATTTAAATGTTATTGTGTTTTATTAATCTAGATCAAATAATACATATTGCTGGTCTATGTATTATATGCCATACCCTAAATAAATAATTATATTCAAGCTTGTCACCACTGCTATCGAGGACCATATTTACCAGACTGCTACTGGCAGACGCAGGGGGGACAGTCAAAACATTTCACCACTGTAATCCCCATGATGTAATCCCTAATAGGGGGTCTTACTCAGCCTGTATCAAATGCACCGTTCATTTTCCTCCAGTTGTGATCCTTGTGTCTCTTCTTGCACTCCCAATTCCTGAAGCTCCTTGGTAAACCAGGATGTAGCTTGGGATTGCTGCCCAGGGAGAGGCCATGTAGGAGCAATGCAAACCAACCACCCAATCTCTTGCCCATTCTAGGCCATGACCAGGGCATCAACCAAACTGTCCACCGGACCCTCAGGAAAAGGCTCAAGCTCTCTGAAAGGAAACTGAGTGCATCAGTCACGTGAACTGAGCAGTCACACAGATGCTGCAGGCTGGTCTCATGAATCTCCATAGACATGGGCTTGGTGGTTTTTTTGCTAGAATTAGAAGATGAATTGGCTGTTCTTGTTTCTGTTTTAGCCAAGGGTGGAATTAACTAAATAAGTAGTAGGGTCACATGGTTTGATTAACTGGCTTACTGGAAATCACAATTGGCTGAGTTCAGAGTGCATACTAAATCACAAGCTTGCAAACTATGCTATGGCTTGTCTTATCCGGTCATCCCAGACTGACTAACCATTAGCTTTAAGGAATCAATTGCCCATATTTGGTTCAGAACTGTTTCACAAAATGATGTTGCTTGCATATAAGTAGCTAAAACCACCCTTGCAATATGCCATTCAGTTGGTGAAAACAGCCTCATAAATAGTCTATCCTAGATCCTGATCAAGTTCAACTGCATTTAGTAACTTGCTCCCCTTAGATTAGTAAATGGACATATTTACAATGTTCAATTTCAAAATGCCGTTTAGCCGTTTAAAATACACAAAAAGGTTGTGTTTGTGTAGGGGGATGGGTTGAGTAGAGTCTAAAATACTAAGATGAACCCAAGACTGGCAGCCAGTGTGCCCGTGCAATAGTGGTGACCAATTCAGCAACACGTGACAGAAGAAGGGCTGGGCAGGATTCAGATAAGGGAAGGAATGGAATGGAGCCATTTCTTGTTCAGTTGTGAGGAAACATAAATGAGAGACCGAGCTAAAATGAAAATGGATTGTGATTGCCTGAGAGGATAGATCTGTGACCCACGTATCCTGAATAGGACGGTATTTGTTGACTAGGAGAAAAACACACTGAATTTGAGTGCAAAAAATAAATATAAAATTTATTAAAACACCCACAATAGTTTAAGATATCCGGAATAATACATTTCACAAACCAGTTGGCTGTGTAACATAATAAAATACAAATTAAAAAAAAGAAAGATTCATACTTGCCATTTTTTGCATCCTAAAAATAAATTTGCCAAGACATTGATGGGGGAAAAGTATGAAAGAAAAAATAAGGAAATTATACAAAATAAAATTATCAGCATAGACTTACTGTACTAAGGTTATCTACAGTTTAATACACAAGTCCTATTGCCTTGAGACATTGTAAATCTACTGTTGTCAACCAACCCCAGATAAAACTTCATTTCAAGTAGCCATAGTCAAATCAACAAAGAAATCTTCACGTGGGGTCACAAGGTAGCCTCCGCTGGAGGTCTCATTTACCAAATGTGAATTCAAGGAGACAAGAAATCCAACCCCTTGAGTAGTCACAGCCTTCTGTTAACTGAATTAGTCTGCCAAATCCAAACTGGTATTTTCCTCATTTCTTTAAATTAAAAAAAGCATCTAAAAGACTGATATAACATTTGTTTAGAAGACAGATATGAATAAAAAATAAATGCCAAAAGCCAGCTAAATAGATATTTCCATAGACTGAATAGCAGGGAGTAAATCTCCAAAAGCAGGTGCTCAACCAAACATCGTAAAATAACAATAAATCCCTGAAACTGGAGCAGAAGAAAACATAGCCAGTTTGCTTTACTATGCTTGGGCAAGAATAATAAAAACTTTTTTTAAAAAAAACATGTTTTGACCATGTAATAATAATCTTTCTGCATGCAAAGTCTCAATGCATTCATTGCTTTTAAAAGGGACAGTAATAAGATTAGTTTGCTCTTCAATGTACCAGCTACATTTTGCCATCTTGAAAGCAATGTTCCAGATATTAAAAGTGTAAAGTGGCATCATTTAAAGATATTTTTACTGAAGGTTTAATCCACTTAGGTATATCACTAGTTTTGCATATCGGGTTAAATTTTGTCATGATCATCCAGCACTAATCTTGCTTTCATTTTACTAATCAGCCATATAAGAATCACTCGATGGTAGCTTTGAAAAGTCATGTCCTTTTTTTGGTTGTGCCTGATAATAAAATCAGGATCCTGTTGAACCTACCCCAAAAACTTTTATAAGAAAAATGCTTTTGCAGAAAAAGAGAGAAAAACTTTCTTAAATCCATCAATTATGCCAATTTTTTATTTTTAATTAAAACAACTATTTTATTACTGATCATATTTTTCTTAAGATGTTACTTCAAAAACTATTTTCTCTTGTGGGTCACATTCTGCTATGAGCTATTTCAGGAAGGCCCTGTAAAGAATGCACCATCTCTTAAATGCTCTAGTCTAGAATATTCCTCAAGATAGTTCATTAACATTGAAAGTGAGAAATTGCCCAAGAATAGAATGCAAAAGGCTGTACAGTTACTAAGATGTCAAGTACAGTGTTGAATTAATAAAATACATAATCTTATTTCTAATATTTGCAGCCATGCCATTATTTATAACTGAATCACAGGTTGCCACAATACTCTGTTTTCTGAGGTATTTTGAATGTATTGTGGTAACAGCAAGCTTATATGAGAAAATCCTGATTCTATTCACTTTAAGCAAATTCTGTGAACCAAAGTGAAGAGAGACTGAAGAAATGGAAAATAAATAGCACCAAAATAGTATTTTGTAAAAGTTTTAGACACATCTACTTACAAATAGCAAATACACAAAGCCATAATAGCAGGTTGAAGCTGACTTATTAGACTAAAGATTAGCCAAACTTGTATGATCAAATCCACATTCACACCACCTGCCCAAACCTAGCCTGCTAACAGGCTGGACTCTTGATTGATATTGACCTCAATAAATATGCTCACACTGATGTCTAACTATGGTTCAACAAGGCAAGCAGCACTGGGGTGACAGCTCTAAAGTGTTTGCTGGTAACAATGAAAGCAAACAAGCCAGCAAGCCAAGTAAGGTGGCAACTATGCTGCTTTTACAAATAGCTGCTCTCTCGGAGTGACCTTAAAACTTCAATTAAGCACCCATAGTTTTGCATAATAGTTACCAATATACAGTAATATGGATTGTTGCACCATGCACACTTGCTAAATTGGCACAAGTGTTGCTGTGAGTACAGGTTGCAGTACCTTTTCTTTATTTTAAAGAAACAGGTTTTCATTTACCCATTTGTATCAAACAATTTGTAGCTTGATCCCAAAAGCCCTTTCCAGAGATGTGAATTTTGTAAAACTACAAATCTTATATTCTCAGAACCAGCCCTAGGAGTGCAGAACTGTCACTTAAACCAAAGTTATCTGTCCAGGATCTACATATATGTAAATGAAATCAGATTATACAGTTAGGTATTTTAGATCCAGAATAGAAGTTTTAGAAACTACAAATATTTAAAATACTCAACCTTTCTGTTTTTAGTTAATTGTAGAGTTCTCTGGTTAGATAATAGCACCTAAGCAAGATGGAATCTGTTCCCTCGCCTTAAAAAGCAACTTGTTTTTAAAGAACTCATCAAGGTAGCACCTTTTTATTACAAGATTTTACTTGATGAAAAATATGCCTTTAAATGAGCCTACAAAGCACATCCTGGCATTATGCACCATCAGCTGAATCATCTCAGAATATTTTGTTTCTTCCTCTTTTGTCTATAGTTGAGTGGGAGCTGAGCCTAGGTGAGCGTTCCCAGTCTTCCCCACTCAGTTGGACCTAATGGAATCCCTGCACATGAGGGAGCTGGGGGGGGGGGCATGTTGGGCAAAAAAGGCATACACTGTGATGCCTTCTTTTGATGCTTCTTAGCTGCCTACTCATCACAAAGCAGCAACAAGGAGACACATACCTATTAAATGTTTGTAACAAGTTTTGCATACAAACAGCCATTTTTGTCAAGCTGAAAAACTGGTAAAGGACTTGTGTCAACTGTACATCTGCCACTTGACCCTCCCATACTTTGTGCATAAAGAATGACTGATGGGAACAACTCCTGATTTGACAAAAAGAGATTCAAGTGCCCAAAGCAGAGGCTGTGTCCTATAGCCAAACAACCTCAAACTCCTCCCAGAGAAGTCAATGAGAACTAGCCAAGTCTTCATGTGCAACACAATTCAACATTTCAAGAACTTTTCCAGGGATTATGGATTTTTTTTTTTGCCTATAGCACCAGGGTTAAGCTTGATGGCACTTAATAACATCTTTCCATCATCACGCTTCCTCCAATACATTTCAGTATTATATTTATTTTGCTGTTGATTTATGAATGTTCAGCTATATTTGACGCGTTGGTTCAAAAGACAATTCTTGGAACATTTATTCATGCTTTTACAGAAGACAATGCAATGACCTGGGTGGCTAGCACCTTGACTTCCTACATCTTAGGATATTCAGTCACAAGTGCAAACTGGCAGTGCTCACCAAGCTTACTGCAAGAAATTAATAGCATCATTAGCCCTACAAATCTCCTTGTGAGTTGACACAACAGCAGCCCACTCTGTCATCTTTGAGTCTTAAGATGACATCTACCCATACACTCCTAAATACAAATAAACTGCGTCCTACAATTTTCTGAATTGTACCAACCAGAAGAAAATGACAGAGCCAATGAAAAGAATTTCTAACTTCTATCCACAACACTAAAGCAGAGAATCCCGTGCATCGATCTATCTTTCACATGTAATTATGAAGCAAACTTTTTTTTCACAACTGAGATACGAGGTAGGTTTTATATATAGCATGAAAACCTCAGACTGCAGCTGACTTTTTGTATTAAAAACATAAATTTATCTGGGATCAGTCTTGTTTTTACTTAAAACATCTTTATGTTAAATCAGGCATGTGAAAAAGTATAATCAACCATGAAATCCATGGTAACTCTGTTTTCTGTGATTTTCTATTTGTATTTTGAATTGTATGTTTACTTTGTGATTTTGAACTGCAGTAAATAACAAACGTGTCAGATTTTGATGGCATTCACATTCTATAGATTTAATACTGACTTATGACCAGATTTCTTTATATTTGAACCACAGTAATTCAGGCCTTCAAAAGGTATGCTATTTCAGTAAAAACTAGTGATTCCAGTTTAACTTGCTTTGGATTTGCACAAGTTTGAACAAAGAACATAATTTGGTCCTTTTTGATTACTAGTGAAAATAAAAGCAGCTGCGGAGCCGACCTTTACATTAGCATTTCTCCTTTTCTGTGTATAAACTGATCTTGGGATCTACCAGCTCAACACTTCTTGACCCTCAGGTAGTTCCTGGTTTTTGAAGAGTCAGAACATGGAACCCTCCTTTTGTGGAAGGTCCAGTGGACAAGATTTCCTGCTCAGAAAATTATAATCTCCAGGCTGGACAGTTCCAAAGGCAGAACTTGAATAACTAATATTATTTCAACAAGTCAGATGTGTCGGAGCCCCTTCTTTTCCATATACTTTTACAAATTCTTGTTCTCTAAAATAATTTAAGTGAAGCTTTCAGGTCGCCCCAGCGACATTTACCAAATGAGACACTAAACCAAGGAATTTACATAAGCTTAAACAAACCATACAAAATATCGGGGTGGAAGAGATTCTTTTCTAGTTAATAGATCCACCTCAAAACGATCCATGGGAGACAGGCATGAAGTTGGCCTAACAAGGGAGAGAAATTGTGTCTCGTGACTGGATGTTCAGAGGGGGCTCCTGGATGGAACCATTACGGACTGCATGGCCCAGTTCATTCCCCCTGCTTGAAAGCAACCTCTTCTCAATACTTCTCCTTCTGCCAACCATCTTAATTTGAAACAAAGAGGCTCTTAAATTGTACCTGGACTCTGAAGTGATACAATTCAGGACCAATGATTAACCGTTTTACTTTGGGTTTAACTGAGTGCAGGTGCAGATGCCCTGAAACCTGGCTGATTGACACCAATGGAAAATTAGTGGCTGGTGTCTGTATAATCCTATGACACTCAGAACATTTCCTATAAATGCCTTAACAGCTATGATATGCTCATAGGTATGCATACAAAATCAATTATAATTCATTGATTCTCCTTGCAAAATATAAGCAATTTTACAGAATACAGTAAACAAAAGAAATTAAGGACGGAAAAGCTTGTTAAATATTTTGTTTCTATTTACATTTATCCCACAATAATCTGCTTTAAAACATACTGTTCTTCAAGTTATTGGGTATCTCTTTCTTTTAAATCTTGGTGAAAGTGCTTTTTAATTATTATTTTTTTGCTATTTACAGTTTAAAATCAGAACCACATAAAACACGCAGGATGCTCTACAGTGATTCCCCCCCCCCCCATTGCTCCTGCTGCGAGGCGCAAGGACTGAGAAAGTTTCCTAGTAAACAAATGTTATGTACAGAGTTGGATCTGCAAGCCATCTTTTCTCAAAAGGCACCGGTTAAGTTCAGAAGGTGATCTTTAAAAGGTTTGATTCTTCTGCCTTCTGCACCACTGAGAAACCACTCGTGTTGGCTTATTAAAGCCAGTGGGGATCTACCCTGGTGAAGGAGTGAGATCTCCGTTTTTCTACAGAAAGACCCGTAGTAAAAGGTGGCAAGGATTCTTAAATTTATCATAAGAGTTGCCACCTCCCAATCTGAAGGTGGCACAAAAGAGAATGTGGAAATGTTTCAAAGGTGCCACCTCCAGGATTGAGAGCTCCCATCTCCAATTTCCATGGAGTTCAATGGGTATTTTCCACAGAGATTCGATGGGAGCATTTAAAAACCAAATAGCTCTTCATGCTTTCGCTCAGAACTTTTCTAATAAAGGGTGAAATTCAAATGATTTGGGGGGAAACCATACAAGGATCCACTTACTCATGATAGGCAATTTAAAACATTTATACTTCTGTCATTATGATCAATAAGTGATATAAAACAAGTGAAATGCCCAAAGCTATTGTTCATGTAGTTTAAGCAAAATGATGAAACTGGACTGAACTGAATTCAATTCTAATTTAGGAAGGATGCTCTCCCACCATCACTTTAGGCCAGGGAATATCTAGCGCCAGAGATCTGTAGTTACCTAGAAAGATCAGGCATCTTATTAAGAGAAGACTAAGAATGACAGATTAGTTTTAAACACTGGATTCAACATTTTCGAAGCACCAGCTATGCTGTACTGAATTAGTGACCAAATAAGTTTACTTCTCCTTTCCTCTCAAAGGTGGCAAAGTAAAATAAATCTTGCAATACATTTGTTTATATTTTAGGACAACTATTTGCAAGGGGAACTATTTTGTTTGGTAAGCCTGCACCACTGGAAAATACAGTAAGAAGTCCCCCTATTAATCCGACTGCACCAGAGATGATAAAAAAGGTTGTGTATTTGCTCATTAAAGGTATTGTGGAGTGGTTTCTTAAAGATACAGTAGTTTGAGCTGCCATTTTATTATTAGCATTGCTTGTCACTATTATTATAAGCATAACTAGTTTCCCATCCCAGGAAACTAGCATGGATATATAGTACAGTACTGCAAACTTAAAAATTACGTTAAATAGCACTGCTAACAAAATAAAAAAAGGAATCTTATGTCCTTACTATGGAGTTTCATTCATTATTCTCATGGAATAAAGAGCAAGAAATCAAGATGCCAAAGGTTATTTTACCTAAGTTGTCTTTCCCTAGATTTTTCTTGGCTTCCACTTTCATTTCCTTTTTCCCCTTCTCTGTGAGAACTTCATTTTAAAAACTTCCTGCCTCCCTCCAAATTAAACTGGACTCACTGAATAAATTATTTAAAATGGAGCAGTAAAACTACTGCCTGTGGTGTGAATCACTATCCTTTTCTTTTACCTGATGATAGAGATAAAATGTGCCTTGAAATTTACAAAAGCAAAATGTATCTGCTGGTAGATCTCATAATCCTCTGTTTTCCTTCCTTTTTTTTCCTGCTCAAGCTTCACTATTTATGCTACTGTTCAGGATCTGGTAGAAGACTAGAAAGGGTCCAGCTCATCTTACTGAAATCTGAAGCAGAGAAGGCAATGTCAATTGAACACTTTTAAATCTTGTTCAGACAACTGAGCAGGGAATGGTTGCTTATCTGGAACGCCATATGCCTTCTCTCCATATTTTATCAGCCACTGGAACCTACTGAATCAGTAAGAAACCACCATGCATCAACCACTGAACTTTATTCAAACAGTCCTTTGATTGAATTGGAAACCCGTCTTTCTGGGTGGCCTCCAAAGGAAAATATTTACCAGCCCCAACAGGTGCAAATTTGTACCTGGTTTATTGTGGGGTGTTGTCTTTTTTGTTAATCAAATAATCTGCTTCAGAGTTGTAATAATTGCAGTTAAAAATCCAATATACAGAAGTATTGGACATGGAATTAAAAAGTTGTCCTTTTTAAAAGGACACTATAAATTTCTTTTACCATTACTGTGATATACATATTTAAAATGCAAAGATATAAATACGAGATTACTGAAAAAGGTTGACAGCAATAAGTCTTTAACTCAACTCCCAAGTGAAAGTACAGAAACTTCACATCTGGCTTGATATTCTGTTCCTCTCCAAAGGAAAAAGCACCACAGACCAGCACTACATTTCAGTGCTGCCCGCGTTGAGGTAAAGTGGCCCCGGAGAGCTGTCCTCTTCTCATATCCAGCAGCTGTACGGTCCCGTTACCTTGGTGTAAGCATAAGAGGACACGGTGACCGCTGAGTTGGTGGGAATGGCTAAAGCCTGCCTCTTCGGGACCCAGTCTTTCTTCTCCTTATGTTGGGGCTCAACGGCCAAGTTGCCTCCCCACTTCCGCTTCTTGCCAAGGTTTTTGATGTCTTGCTGAAGGCCGAGCCTGGCTGCCTCCTCTTGCCTCGCCCTTGCCCTTTCTGCCAGCTGTTTCATTTTTGCTTCCCAAAGGGCAAGTCCGTGACTGGGCTGGTTCAAGTTTTTGTGCTGGTAGAATACCAGAGAGATGCGTGTGGGGTGACATCGGTTCGGTTTCTTCAGTGGGGTGGTGGCATGCAGCTCTCGCCTTGCACACTCAATGAGGATGGAGCCGTGGGCTGGAGCTACTGCCACCCCACCAATGTTTTCATCCAAAAAGTTGTGTTCACTGTCTGACCAGACCTCTTCATCATCTTCTTCTTCCTTGATGTTCTTCTCGGGTGTTTCTTCCATGCTGTCATCCAAACTGAATGAATCCCAGGGTCTTTCAGCCCCCAGCAATGATGCACTTCCTTCTTCTTTCAAGGAAGCAAATGGGGGCTTCTCCCCACAAACACTTGAGGTTGTAGAGGGCAACGATGCAAAGGAAGTCCATGATCTGCTCTGTAAACCTGTGTTTGGTGTTGGAGTTCTCCTCTCCTCTCCTTTACTAGGATGCCAGAGTTCATCTTGAAGTCTGGAGCTCCCTTTGATGGAACTAAAGTCCAATTGCCCGAGGCCCCAGGCTTTCTCCTGAAGGTCTGGATTGGCAGAAAACAGGGATGGGCTTTCATCCACTTTGCAAGGGCTCCACGACTTCCCTAGAAGATCAGGGCTAGGTGACAGATTCTGCCCCTCCCCAGGAAACAAATTCCACTGTTTCTCCAAAAGGTAGGATTGGGATAACCTGCTAACATTTGAATGAGAACCAAACAAATTTGATTTATTCTGGGTTCTTGCATTAAGCATGCTGGCACTGTCGTTTGGTGTAAACATGTTCCATGAGCTTTCAGCATTACTATTTCTCTCAGGTTGGGACTGATTTCTGTTGACTTTATAAGGGCTCCATTGTTGCTCTGGACCAGCATTCTGAGATAACCTGGATAAATCAGATGGGCTCAGGTTTGAATGCAGGCCATTGAGAGCAGATGGTTGAGAAAGGGACTCTGTGGGTGCCAAGGAATCAATTGGTTCTTGCTTGATTGTTCGGTTGCTGAAACAATTTGTGTTTTGTGCAAATGACAAGGCCTCTGCAGGGACTGAGTGACATCTCTGGGGCACCACTGGGGTCTTGCTTGCATGTCTGCTGGCTTTCTCGTAGGTGCGCTGATGGTGATTTTTGCTCCGTACAGTGGGTGGTGTGTCATCCAGTAATTCAGTATTTCTGTAAGCATGGCTCAAATTATCTTGTAGGTTTTGGACATCAGGCTTCTTCTCATAGGGGCTGCTTATCCACGGTGCACTCTTGTTCTCACTGTAATTCAAAAACTGGGAGTGGAACATATGGTTGCTGGAAAATCCATAATACCCAAAAGATGGAAGAGAGAACTTCGAATGCAACCCATTCATGGAAGGCAGATTTGGTTGTGCATAGTATGAATGATAAGAATAAACACTGTTCATGCTGTATGGGTCGGAGGGTCTGCAATTGCCAAGCACTGAGTAGCTCTCCACCACTGCATTCCCATTGTACTTCAATGCATTATAATGACTCTGAGGTTCCACCTTGATGGAAGATTTGATGGCTGGCTGGGAGAATCCACTTTTCAAAGCTGTATCTGCAGATGAACAAAAGGAATCAATGTGAATTTGCAGAGTCACCTTGGCTTCCTTAGCACAAGCACTGAAGATCTGGGCCATGGACTTGGCTGAGGAATTCTGGGAACATCTTTTAAATTATTAAACACTGAAAGAGACTGTAGTTCAAATCAGCAATCAAGCTTACCCACAAAGCTAAGAAGCTCTCTTTCAACCTAACCTATTTCACGAGTTGATATGACAAGTATATAAGGCTCCCCTCATTTACAACCTCATACAAGAGGGTAGAGCGGACCTGGTGTCCATTACAGAGACCTGGTTGGGCCATGGGGGGGGTGTTCCCCTTAGTGAATTATGCCCACCAGGCTTCCGGGCGTTTCACCAGCCGAGAGCCCAGGGCAGGAGCGCGCGTGTGTGTGTGTCAATGGTTATTAGGGAAAGTCTCGGACCTCAGGAGGTCACTGTGCCTCAGATAGGCGGGTGTGAG